TTATTATTGCTACCTTTTACTTAACAGGGACTAAATGGTCTCTATAAAACGATAATCAGGATCGCAAAAAAGTCAACTCATTTGAAACACTTGCCGGACGTCTCACTCTCTTCTGAAATCCGACTCGGTGATCATGGTCCTGAATCTATTTCTTTCAAAAGTGTTGCACCGGGTTTATGTTGTCGGCGTTTCTCTTTAAACCTAGTTTTTTTTTTTTCATGGACGAGGACAGTTTTTCCTTCGGATCGATTAGAAACGTGTGAATACTTACACTATGACTATACGTTGCACTGCAACTGCCCACAACACAACATCTAAAAACTCTCTCTCTCAAAAAAAAAAGAAAAAGAAAATAGACAAAAAAAGAAAGAAAAAAAAACGCCGACTGAAAATGTATATCGTTTGAAAGTATATTGAATGACCAGTGTTATTACGGCTCAGGGGTATGACTTCCTCTCACATTTTGGCATTTGGTGGTGCACTTTCAGCGAGAGTCGGAAATCCGGAAACAGTCGACCGTTTCAGGATAGATGGGCGTGGCTACAACACAAGAAATATCCCAAATTTACTTGGATACGAGTAATCATTTTCAGCAAAAAAATCAATAACTGCCCATTTCAGTGGGATACAGATCTAAAATGGGAAACGTGAGGGTGGGCATTGCACAGGCACTTTAAAGAACTGAAGATATCATTAGAAAATGAAAAATATGTATAGTATCAAAGCAATTGGACTTGCTGTTTTCAACAAGAATTCAAAAATATCACTTTTTAACAAAAATTACAAAAATATTCGTTAAAATTAGATAATCGAAGATATCATCGAAAAATGAACAAATCTGAGAGAGGTCCACATGTAGTACCTATAAATATGAGAAAAACCTTTTATTCAATTATACATGTACTGGTAAATTTAGAGCTATACATTAGCTTGTGAAAAGCCCAGTAAGCTATATGTTAACACATCACCTGTAGACGTTGTTATATACCAGTCATTTCAAC